CAGTCTCTCTCCCAGCCCACCGTCCCTCAGCCAACAGTCTCTCACAGTCTCTTTCCCAGCAGTGCTGGTCCCTCGGTGTCTCACTCAGCAATGCATGTCTCTTGCGTCTCTTTCCCAGCAACGCGTGTCTCAGGAGCATGTGTGTCTTTCAGCAGCACGTCTTCCTCAACCAGCAGTCAGGGAGAGTTCTGCCTCTAGGAGGCCTCCTTTTGAGCTTGGCAGAGTGGCCAAACCAACCAGTCATAACAACAGAATTCTAAGCACCTGAGAGTGAGCCTCCTATAACATTGCGTTGTGCCACGCCCAACAGAAATAACCCAGGTGGATAACATTTATAATCAGGAGCTCCTCAGTTGTTCATTCCACCACTGAGTTTACAATGACTTATGGGTAGAAAAGCCACACTAAGTAATTTACTACACTACAGTTTCCAAGGCAGTAAATCTTTATGGACGTAGATTGCCCCATCTTCCTTCTGTGGAGTGGTTAGTAGGTTTGAACCACCAACCTTCTGGTTAGCAGTCAGATGCCTTAAGCACCGTGCCACCAGAGCTCCTTATTCTAAAGCAAAGAGACTAGTAAAATGAATCCTTATCCTCTCTTCTCTCATCAGTAGTAATTAATTCATGTCTATTCTTTATTTTTTCCTCCCCCTCAAATTATTTTCAGACAGATTCCAGATATCGTATAATTTCCTCTATGACTATTTCAGTATTTTTATCTAAATGAAAGGACTTGTTTTTTATACATGGCCACAATCACTACTAAATGAATTCCTCAGTATTATCAAATATCTAGACAGTGTTGCTAATTCTCCAGCTGTCTTGTTATTTATTTAGGAATTGTAGGATCCCCTGATAGTCTTTTACTTAATAGGCTCCTGCTTCAGCTCCGTCTTCTTGGTCCTTCCCTCCATGCAGTTTTCTTTTTGAAGAAATTGGGTCACTGAAGAAGAGTTTGGATTTTGCTGACTGCATTCCATGATGGGTACTTACCATGTTCCTCTGTCTAATATGTTTTTTCTGTTTGAGATATTAGCAGCCATTGATGATTATTTCCTAGATCCATCAGTTTATCAGGGACTGTAAATTTCTTTCATTCCTTCTTTGTTTATTAGCTATAATACACCTATAAAAGAAATTTTACCTTATTAATTATTTGCTACTCTGGGGATAGATTGTATAGGAAAGGCAGGAAAATACTTTTTCTTTCCCTTTATTTATTAGTGCTCAAAACATTGAGATGGTGGTTCCTTATCATATTCTAAAAATAATTAGTACTTTTTGGTATCTGTAAACTCTGTTGCAATTAATTTTCTTGTTGATGCTCAAATTAGCCCATCTTTGCTCAGTAGAACCTTCAGATTGTCTCCTGAATCTTTTTAATGCAAAACTATTAGTCTTGGTAACTTCTTTGTTTGCTAGTGTCACAAGTTATATTGAGTTTATCTTACACATTTCCTGTCTTGAAATCTTAAAACCACATGTTAATGAAAAGCCCCATACTTTCTCTCCTAGTCTAACATGTTTGACTTGTACTGAATTACAGACTTACTACCTTGTTGTTGTTGTTGTTATGTACCGTCGAGTCAGACCTGACTCATAGCGACACCTCCTTGGGTTTCTGAGGCAGTATAGGCAGTATCACTACAGAAGTAGATTGGTCAACCTTCCTTCCGAGGAGTGGCTGGTGGGTTTGAACCACCAGCATTCTGCTTAGCAGTCAAGTGCCTCAGGCACTACGTTACCAGAGCTCCTGACTTATATTTTTTGTTGTTATGTGCCGTCGAGTCGGACCTGACTCATAGCGACCCCTCCTTGGGTTTCTGAGGCAGTATCACTATGAAAGTAGATTTAGAAAGCCTTAAAAACACTGCTTTAAGAAAGGTGTTTTTAGTAGTTCTGTCTACCTGTAAAGGTATATATTTACTTCTTGTCTCACTATTGCACAGAATGGCTGTTGTAAACAATATTCACTTAGGTAATGTCTGTTCTCCATTAGAGGAGAGAAAAGTATTATGTAATTTTCCCATTCCATGAGTCCCCACAGGCTTGGCAGAACTTTAGAGGATCCAGAATTAAAATCAATGTTTTTGTCTTCATATGCCATTTAAGAAAATACAGTAAGATGGGACTAAATTTGAAAAGAATTGTAGATTGAGACTTTTAGACAAATATAAGTGTTGTTATTTGTAGAAAAGTACAGGCATTCAGTGAAACATAAAGGAGAGGGGGTGGGGAACAGAGCTGTAAAGGAGTAGTTTTTGTATTCCACTGAAACTAAGTTGGTATTAATTAAGACTTGATTCTTAGAAAAGTAGGTCTTAATTATAATTTTCAGTGTAACCACAAAGGAAAAAATTTGAAAATATACAGAAAAAGAAATGAGAATCAAAATGGTATACTAGAAAAAGTTAATTAATTACAGAAGAGGAACACACAGGGTATAAGACATACAGAAAACAAATAGCAAAATGGCATAAGTAAGTATTTCCTTATTAGAAATTATCTTAAGTATGAGTGGATTCTCCATTTAAAAGTCAGACATGGGCAAAATGGTAAAGAAACATGATCCGACTATATTGTGTCTACAGGAGACTCTCTTTAGATACAAAGACACATGCAGGTGGGAAGCGAAAGAATGGAAAATGATACTCCAAGCAAATCTTAACCCAAATAGTAAAAGAGAGCTGAGGTGGCTATACTAATATCAGACAAAATAGACTTTAGGGCAAATTTGTTACAAGAAACAAAGGCCATTAAGTGTTCAATCCATCAATAAGGTATAAATTATAAAAATAAATATATACTTAACAACAGAGCTCCAAAATAAATGAAGCAAAAACTGACAGAATTGAAGGAGAAATTGACATTTCTACAGTAGAAATTAAACAACATACACTTCAAAAAACAGTGACTCAAATAAGAAATTACAAGTGCAGTTGAGAAATACTTCAAGATGAATGAAAACAAAACCACAACATACTAGGGAAGCCAGTGCTCAGAGGGAAATTTATAGCTGTAAAGCTTAATTAGAAAAGAAGAACGATCCCAAGCCAGTTTAAGGAACTAGTAAAAGAAGAGCAAGCTATACCAAAAGCTAATGAAAAGAAGAAAATAATAAAAATTAGAGTGAAAATAAATGAAATGGAGAATAGAATAGAATCAGTGATACCAAAAGTTGGTTCTTTGAAATGATCAACAAAATTGACAAACCTTTAGCTAGACTGATAAAGTAAGAGAGAAGAGTCAAATTACTTACATCAAAAAATGAAAGTGGGGCATTACTTTCAGAAATGAAAGTGATTATAAGAGAATACTATGTACAATTGTACACCAACATATAGATAACTTAGATACAATTAATAAATTCCTAGAATCAAATCACCAAAACTGACTCAAGAGAAACAGAAGATTTGAACAGACCTATAATAAATAGGAATCCAGGTAACGGGAGGCAGACAGGCCCCACACCCAGATGTGGGAGGCGCAGGGGAAGAGCCGTGGCCAAGACAGAGCTGTGGGAATCCAGATAAGGGAAACAGACAGGTCCCATACCCAGACATGAGAGGCAGGGAAAGAGCTTGGGCTGAGACAGCCATGGGAATCCAGGTAAGGGGAAGCAGACAGGCCCTGTACCCAGATGCGGGAGGCAGGGGAAGAGCCAGGGATAAGACAGAGCCTGCAGGATCCAGGTAAGGGGAGTTTAGAAAGGTTTTGAACAGCTAAGGAAGACAAACTTGTCTGTGGCGGCTTGCATGTTGCTGTGAGGCTTGAGGCTGTGCCACCGGTGTCTGAAATGCCAGCAGGGTTGCACATGGTGCACAGGGTTCAATGCAGCTTATAGACTGAGACAGACTAGGAAGAAGAAAGAGGCCATCCATTTCTCAAAGAATTGGCCAAGGAAAACCTTATGAATAACAGAGAAATAGTGTCTGATACATTACTGAGCAACTTTATGAAAATCCCTGAAACATTGTCCAATACAGTGCAGAAAGACCAGCCCCTATTTAGGTCAGAAGGCACTCAGAATACAAGTGGGAAAGGGCTGCATCATCAGAGCAGAACCAGCCTTAATGATATGGATAGAGTAAAGCTTTCGGGACCTCCATTTGCTGATGTAGCACGACTCAAATTGAGGAGAAACAACTGCAAACATCCATTAATAATCAGAACATGGAATGTACGAAGTATGAATCTAGAAAATTGGAAGTTGTCAAAAATGAAATGGAATGCATAAAGATTGATATCCTAGGCATTAGTGAGCTGAAATGGAACGGTTTTTACCATTTTGAATCAGACAACCATATGATCTACTATGCTAGGAATGACAGTTTGAAGAGGAATGGCGTGGCATTCATCATCTTCATCACAAAGGATGTTTCCAGGTCTGTCCTGCAGTACAATGCTGTCAGTGATAGGATAATACCCATACGCCTACAAGAAAGACCAGTTACTACTATGATTATTCAAATTTATGTACCCACCACCAAAGCCAAAGATGAGGAAATAGATTTTTATCAATTTCTGTAGTCTGAAATTGACTCAACATGCAATCAAGATGTGTTAATTATCACTGGTGACTGGAATGTGAAAGTTAGAAACAAAGAACCACCCAGTAGTTGGAAAATTTGGCCTTGGTGACAAAAATAATGCTGGAACTCGTATGGTAGAATTTTGCAAGACCAACGACTTGTTCATTGCAAACACCTTTTTTCAACAATACAAACGGAGGCTATACACATGGACATCACCAGATGGAGTACATAGGAATCAGAGTGACTACATCTGTGGCAAGAGGTGATGGAAAAGCTCAATATCTTTAGCCAAAACAAGACCCGAGCTGACTGTGGAGCAGACCATCAACTGCTCATATGCAGATTCAACTTGAAGTTGAAGACAAACAAGTCCACAAGAGCCTAAATAAAACCTTGAATATATCCCTCCTGAATTTAGGGACCATGTAAAGAATAGATTTGACACATTGAAAACCAGTGACTGAAAACCAGAAGAATTATGGGATGACATCAAGAACATCATCCATGAAGAAAGCAAGAGGTCATTAAAAGGACAAGAAAGGAAGAAAAAAACAAAATGGATGTCAGAAGACACTCTGAAAATTGCCCTTGAACAGAGAATAGCTAAAGCAAATGGAAGAAATGACAATGCAGAAGAGTGGAACAGAAGATTTCAAAGAGCAGCTCGAGCAGACAAAGCCAGTTACTCTAATGAAATGTACAAAGACCTGAAGTTAGAAAACCAAAAGGGAAGAACACGCTCAGCATTTCTCCAGTTGAAAAAACTGAGGGAAAAATTTAAGCCTCGTGTTGCAATATTGAAAGATTCTATGGGCAAAATATTGAATGATGCAGGAAGTATTAAAAGAAGATGGAAGGAATACACAGAGTCGTTGTACCCAAAAGAATTGGTCAATGTTCATCCACTTCAGGAGGTGGCATATGATCAAGAACCAATGGTATTGAAGGAAGAAGTTGAAGCTGTACTGAAGGAATTGGCAAAGAACAAGGCACCATCTCAAAGGTGTTTCATTGAGATGTTTCAACAAATGGATGCCCCGCTGGAGGGACTCACTCAGTT